TACCATGTACTTGAGCCATCTTACAATGCTTTCCCAGGCACATTTAGGGAGCTGGATAGGAAATGGAGCAGCTAGGTCTTGAACAAACACCCATATGGGATACTGGCATTGCAGGCGGCGACTTAACTCATCATGCCACGACACCAGTCCCAAGTTATACTTTCATTTTTATATGCCTCTAGCCATGTGTCAACAACTGCTGGTTCCTGTGCCTTCAGCTCCAATTCAACATTGCATGGTTCATGTCCCTTGTTTGTTTTTTTCATGAGTGTAATTCACTTACTGGCAGTGCAAAACTTTATTCCTACTGTCCATAATATAGGCACTAATTTGATCAGCCTCCCTGTATGTAATTGATCATTGCTATAAGTTACCACCTCATCCCATCCCTCCTCATCCTGCTGGTATTTTAATACCCTGCTCTAGGACATACCCTCTCAGGTGGCCATCCTCTTCTCTGTTCAGGCTCTGGGGACATGCTCTGCACCGTGACAGCTGCCCCTTTGACACTCCTGGGGCTCTGAAACCTTGCAACAGGCTGCTCCCTGTCCCTTTTTCTCTCACCTGGGGTCTCTCCATCAGACCTCCTGTATGAGTCATCCTCTGGCCCACCTGCTGAAGCCCTGTTACATTTTGATTCAGCTTAAGGTGATCTACAGATTGAAGTTGGTCTCAATTAACTTCAGAATTTTGGTCTAAAGGTTACCTATTCTTCCTGGGGTGTGCTGCTTTCTTTCAGCTAGTAGCATGTTTCACTAATCAGGAATGCATAGTCTTTTCAGTCATGGTTCTCAAAAGGTTAAACTGATTAATTACAGAATTAGAAGAAAGATCCAATATGGCATCCAGTTCAATGCAAAGGCAGATAACTTTAAAAAATCTGTAATTAACAGATTTTGGTGTTCTTAAGCAGTGTCAAGAATGCAAAATTGCTGAAATGTTCAGTGTAGGCTATGCATGTTATCTAACTGGTTAGAATTTAATGCAACTGGATAGAATAATTAAAGTGAATTAACAATCATGAGGGCTGAAAATACCAATCTCCTTCCTCTTTCAAGGGCTACAGAGGTTTAAAAGAAAGCATTGTCTGTCCAAACAATATTTAAGTAGGTAGTTTTGAAGATGATGTTTTTGACTTCCAGGTGGAATTAAGGTCTTACTACTCTTAAAAATCTCAGAGAAATACTTTTCTCCTCTCCACCTTCTAACCTCATTTAGGAAAAGAACTTAAAAACTCTACGGTACAATGCAATGATTTTTATTATGATGTTTTATTTTTTATGGTATTTGGTCAACATTGACAGATGTGAAGTCTCTTTTTGTGGCAAAGTCACTTGTGCACTTGTGATGTCTGGGGCCAAGGCAGGGATTTTTAGATAGCTATTGGCTTCCTTTTTCTTTTTAGTGTTATGACAGCTCTGCAACATGCGTTGAAATAATTTTTCTTGCACTTCAGCCATTCCTTGTACTTCAAGAAATTTTCTAGGAAAGCATGAACAGAGGGAGTTCTTTGTACAACATCTTAGATCTTTTGTCCCAATTTGTATTCTTATACGGAAAATACTTTGCCACAATGAACCAGACCTCTACGTGAGGCTCTCTGATGACATCTATATGTAAGTGTTTGATGCCTTCCTCTCTTTATGGATGGGATATTAGAGGAGACTTAGGTGAGGCAGATCTATATCTGAATCTGCTTAGGGACTTGAATAAGTCTCTTAAACATCTCTACCTATCAATGCATCATACTGGTTTTCTGTTTCATGTGATGATATGTAAGTCACTTAACTTTTCAGTGTCAGTTTTCCCATCTAGTTAACGAGAATATGAATGCTACATTTTGAACAGGGTTTCTATGAAGGTTAAATAAAGCAATGAAGATACATTGGTTAGCACAGAACCAAGCATATATGGTCAATATATATAGCAGTAAGTGCTTCCTATTCATAACTATCATGCAACTTCGGAATTTTCATGTTTTTGGAGTCTTTCCTCAAGGGCAACATATTTGCATCAGCTCAGGGATAGTGTGGGGACGACTAATGATTCACAATTCTGCTCACTTGTAGTGGATAGCAAAGATAGTTGGCCTTTTTTATTGTTACCAATATTAGTCATCAAGAGAATTTGTTTCTTTTTCCCATTGGGCAGAAGCAAAATTGAGGAGGATTAAGTCTTTTCTATACCCGGAGGAAATTCAAAGCTTTCGAGGGATTTTGCAAATTAGGAGGATCTTGGTGTTAAAAGAGCAAACAGCATATTTTTACCAAGTTGTGTGAGACACTGGTGAAGTTGGAGAGATGAATTGGTAGTTGCATCATTAGGTGCAGTTATGAGTCTCTTCAATAGTACTTGAAAACAAAGAGCAGAAAAAAAATTCGCAGTTGGGGTAAAAAAAAGTTAGATTTTGAGGAGGAAGATATGAGATGCTGAAGGCACTGATTTAAGGAATTGGGTCAGAGTGAGGCTGGGCAGGATAGGAGCTTTTGGAGTATTTGAAAATCAAAGATGGAGGCCGGTGCTGCAGCTCAATAGGCTAATCCTCCGCCTGCGGCACCGGCACCCAGGTTCTAGTCCCGGTTGGGGCGCCGGATTCTGTCCCGGTTGCTCCTCTTCCAGTCCAGCTCTCTGCTGTGGCCAGGGAGTGCAGTGGAGGATGGCCCAAGTGCTTGGGCCCTGCACCCCATGGGAGACCAGGAGAAGCACCTGGCTCCTGGCTTCGGATCAGCACGGTGCACTGGCTGCAGCACACCAGCCACAGCAGCCACTGGGGGGTGAGCCAATGGTAAAGGAAGACCTTTCTCTCTGTCTCTCTCTCTCACTGTCCACTCTGCCTGTCAAAAAAAAAAATCAAAGATGGAGTTCTTGCTGTGTTAATGGGATGTGAAAAGTGAAAAAGGCAGATAGACTAGGAAGCTTTGGTAGGATTTTATAATTTTAATATTTCAATATTGCATGACTTCTGGATGATAGATGATGATACATATGCCTGCTTATGGTCTTTAGCATAGGTGTGGGAGAGAATATAGGGAATGCTAAAATACAGGGAATGTTAAGCTGTGAAGCCAAAGTGTTCAGTGGATCATCCCTGATATTTAAGAGGCTCGGCGGTCCCCCAGAATTCTTTGGGGTCCTGGCAGAAAGATTAATATCTTCTCTAGGGTATGGGAGCCAATTTGCTGTTACCTTGCCAATATGATCCTTATTGCTGTTGAAACTAGAAGAAAGAAGGAGGAAGAAGAGGAAGGCTACAAGGAGAAGAAAGAAGAAAGGAGATAAGGAGATTGGGAAAGGAAAGGGAAGAAGAAGATGACAAAGAAGGGAAAAGAAACCAAAAGTTCTAACCCAAAGTGGTTCTTTAACACCCTTGCCTGTACATTTTTACCAAATCATCATGCCTTTCATGTCTGAATTTCTTTTTGCTTGATAGTGATGCTGCTAGCTAATATTTAATTCAGGGTAGTTCTTGGACTTGCCCATGATGATTACATAGCATGTTGCATTACTTATCAATGGGGATTTTACATTGCATATGAAATTAAGGTTGCTAATCAGTTTATAAGGAGATTAAATTGGATGACAAGGAGGGGCTCAAGATAATCACAAGAATCTTTATGAATAGAAATGGAAGGAAGAAGAGAGTCAGGGTGACTCCATTCATGAAAGGCCCAACTGCCATTGCCGGCTTTGAGGAGGGAGAAGTGGGCTGGCTATAAGCCGAGGGATCTGGGCAGCCTCTGAAGGCTGGAAAAGGCAAGAAAACATTCTTCCCTAGATCATCTAGAAAGGAATGCAGCTGTGCTAACTCTTTGATTTTAGACCAGGGAGATTGGTTTCAGATATCTGGTCTTTAGGACTGTGAGATAACAAATTTGTGTTGTTTTAAGCCATTAACTTTGTGATCATGTGTAAACAGCAGCAATAGAAAACCAACACCCTGAAAAGTCCTGGTGTCTATGTATCCCAGTCTGAAATACTTCAGACTAGCCATCCCAGGCCTGTGAGGAGCACCCCTCTTGTGTATCTGGACCACTGTGGTTGATTTGGGTGCCTTGTCCTGTGCAAGGTTGGGTGAGTTGGTATCCCAAACCTGTTGCTGAATGCAGGTGGTTGGCTGGCAGCCAAGGAGAACTCAATTATCGGGGCCAAATTCCTTCTGAATGGAGTCAGAAGGCCTGTTTCAGCCCAGTTGTAAAGAATCTTGGCCGGGTTACCCCTGTAAATTCTCAAGATGCCTGGCACGCAAACCTGGTTTGTGGCATTCTCTCACGGAAGGAAAAGTTTGCGCCCCCTGGTGGACACCCCGTCCATGGTCACCTTATTGGGGTACACTGGATGAATAACCTTAACTCTTTGTGGAGCTGTCTTGCTTCTTCCTTCTCGTAGTTGCTTTCTGGGTGATCGGAAGAGGACCTGGAAAGATGGGATTATGGAAACAAAAAAGTACCACAGGGTCACACAGGCTCACAGGGACTCACAAGTACTGCAATCAACTCATCAGACAGATAAAAGGGTTTTGCACTGTCAAGACAGCAGATCAGCTCAGCTAGCTCCCTGAGACTTGGCAAAGAAAAAAAGTTGCCTATTGGTTTTTATATGGAAATCTTAGCCCGCCCTGGAAGGGAATCCAGCCGGTCCGAGTGGGTGAGGAGTCCGTCTTGAAACAGCAATGTCAGCAAAAGTTCAAGAGCTGCAGGAATGGGCAGCGCCGAGCTTGGGGGCCCCTCCGCCCCATCTCTGCGCTCCACATGTGCCTGCACTCTGGCCAGAGGGAGGCTGGCCTGGAGGTGAGGAGGGGAGGGCTCGCACTCTCCACTTCCTCTAGTACCGCCGCCCAGGGTGTCTGTCCCGGGCCTCCCCTATTTGGCCGGCTCAGTGCCGGGCTCTGGGCGGGGCCCGAGGAGCGCAGGGGGTGGGAGTAGGGGAGGAAGATGTGCTGGAGCTGGCCGGGGGGCGTGCCCAAGGCGGAGGGTGGGGAGCCGGGGGGGGGCGGGCTGCACCCTCCCGGCACTGACCCATTCCCCGCTGGGCCAGCCGAAAGCTGACGCTGTCAACTGATTCACTCCCCTTTCGGAAGGAGGGAGGGGAAAAGCTATCTGGCCCCTGCCTGCTTCCAAAAGCAAAGGCGATCGCGGGCGGCTCTGCAGCCTCTCCCTTCCCACGCCTGGACCATGCGCCCCTGCGCCTTCCTGACTGGCCACAGGCGAGGACTTGACTTGTGGAGCTGAGGGCTCAAACTTTGTGACTCTTCTTCTCCCCGACGAGTGAACCATGCCATGTGCGCAGAGGAGCTGGCTTGCACACCTCTCCCTGGTGGTGGCTAAGCTCCTTAGCTTCTGGGCGCTTTGCCATGGGCGAGACCCTCAGCCAGGCCCGGTTCGCTTCCCGGACAGGAGGCAAGGTTAGTGGCTTTTTCTCTGGTTCCTTTGAAAACCCGTGGTGGTCAGACTTGTGGCAACTTGGTTGCTCCTCTTCCGCTTCCCCCACTCTGCAAAGCGGCTGGACTGAGTCGTGAGGAAAGCTGGGCTGGGGGCTGAGCGACCCAGCGTTTCTCAGAATTCAGGGTTTTAGGCGATGATGCCTTAGTTCCTACTGAAAGGTGAGTATCTCGCTTTCTTTATAAGGATGACACTGCGGTCTTTGAAAGACCCAAGAGGTAGCTGGTGTCCTTCTCCTCTTCTTTTGTCTCCTCTTGAATGCTGTACTGTTTCAGCTCCCTGTTTTCCAGATTCTGAACATGGGAAATTGCTCTTTTTTTTTTTTTAAGTTCCAACTGGCGGCTGGCAGTTAGGCAGCGTTTCGAGTACATTTTAAACTCCCGGGCAGGGAAGGGGAAATGTGATTCCTCCCCCCTGCTGAGCGCGCTTGGCTGTGTTTGGGTTTCCTGGAAAGATTTAGGATTGTGTTTTTAAAATAATAGCCCTTTTGGGGGGTGGGGAATTCACCTCTCCAAGGGCTTATTTTTCCCGGTCCTGCCTTGCTGATCCCAGATGGCTGCTGCTTTTCCTCCGGCTCTGTGAGGGCCACGATGTTATGGAGAGCACTGGAGGTACCATGGAGAATTTGGTACTATCACTACTCAAGCCTCACGCCCCCCAGCAGGGTAGTGCCCATGCCTCTGCTTTCTCCTGCCCTGGGAAGGGTCAGAGACACTTTTCTGTTTGGGGGGAGCTAAGTGTGTCTCTGGGGGCAAACAGTCATGGCTGCAACAATGCACCTGGGGAGGACTTTGTCGGTGTCCACCCAGCCGCTGACAGTAGCCTTCTGGGATGCAGGGACCTTTGTCAATGTCCCTATTAACAGCAAAATGTAGAGCAAGTTTTGCATCCAGAGAGCCAGAGAGCCTGACTTACAATCTTACAGCAGTGTCCTGTAGCAATGCTAGGGTTATTGCACACACACACACACACACACTCACACACATACTCACACTTACACACACATACTCACAACACACACACTATCACACACACACAGTGCTGGGTTTGCGTCCAGTGACTCCTGTGTTTGTTGACTGTGCTCAAGTCTCAGGATGTATCCTCCAATAGCTTTCGGACACCCCTTGAATGCCCAAGGCCACTGGGGTGCCACACGTCACCACCCTGTCCTTGTGGAGAATTTCTAGGCAAGAGTTTCTGTCTACGTTGCACAGTGCAAATCTTGCAGGAGACCTCATCAGCTGTGGCTTCAAGAGCGCTCTCAGAAGCAAGTCTCTCCCTCCCTCCCCTTGCTTTACTTGGAAGCCTGAACTGCCAGCACTGGGGTTAGATGTCAATCAGCCAGCACTGGCCTGTGTAAATGGTTCAGATACAATCTCCCACCCCCAAGTTTAAAATAGCAGCGCTTGTTGTTCTTTGGAAAACAGTCCCTTTGTGCAAAGTCTCTTCTGGGGCAGCACAAACAAAGCCCGTGAGCATGTCCCAGGGCATGTGGAGATGATTTGGTTCAAAGACACACATTCTCCTGGGTGATTTCAACTCTGCTTGCTGTGCATCTTCTTTGGAAGGGAACGCAGCTGGGCGTGGGGGCAGAACTGGAGAGTTTTAGTGAGAGAGGTTATTTTCCGCTGTCATCTTTGCAGTTATGTGCTGAGAGTGTTTGATGTTGGAAAAGTAGCCATAAAGGACTGAGTTTATTAGTGATGCATATCAATTAATATTTTAATATATATATTTTATTATTTATTTGAAAGGAATACGGAGATATCTTTCATTTGTTGGTTCACTCCCCAAATGCCTTCAACAGCCAGAATTGGGCCAAGTGAAAGCCAGGAACTAGGAACTCAATTCAGGTCTCCCACATGATGCTAGGGAGCCCAAGTAGTTGAGCTGTCACCTGCTACTGCCCAGGCTGTGTTGGCTGGGAAGTGAAGCCAGGACTGAGACCAAGGTGCTCTGATACAGATGTGAGTATCTCAGTGGTGAGTTAACCACTGTGCCAAATGTCCACCTCAATTTTAGGTTTTGAAAGCTCTTTCACCAGTCTTAATAAATTCATTAATGATTTTATAGGAAATACACTTTTGGTAGACAGAAACAATTTCTAGGCAGACTTCTCTTTAGAACTAAGAGGGTGGAGGAGGAGTGGAGGAGACAGGGAGGGAAAAGAATGAGGGCAAATGAATGAGATAATGAAATTTTTTTTAAAAAAGCTTTATTTATTTATTTGAAAGGCAGAGTTACAGAGAGACAGAGGCAGAGAGAGAGAGAGAGAGAGAGAGAGAGAGATCCTCCATCCACTGGTTTACTCCCTAGATGGCTACAACGGCTAGAGCTGTGCCCCTCTGAAGCCAGGAGCTTCCTCTGGGTCCCCCAAGTGGGTACAGGGGCCAAAGGACTTGGGCCATCTTCTATTGCTTTCCCAGGCCATAGCAGAGAGCTGGATTGGAAGTGGAGCAGCTGGGACTCAAACTGGTGCCTATGTGGGATGCTGGCACTTCAGGTGGCGGCTTTACCCACTACGTCATGGTACTGGTTCTGAGACAGAAGGAAATTTTAAGAGTTCCTGGGAATAGAATGACCAGGGTTTTGTTCTCAAATGACCTAGTTCTACTTTGACAACATTTTTTAATTGTACTCAAATTCAGAACACTTAGACTGGCACATTTCTTCAGACATCATCTCATAGATCCTTTGACAGCTGAAGAATGGGCGCCCTAGGGCATCAGTCTGTCTGTAAACGTGCGCTTGTTGAGCAGCCTGTAGATGCTGCTTTACCAGGGCCTTGGTGGGAGTTCCAGAGCCCCTCCCCTTCCCCAGTCAGAGGCAGAGACAGATGTTGGACAGCCTCACAGGGCTGGGCAGAGTCAGGATTTCAGTCCAAAGGAAGAATTTAGAGACAAATCCAACCTTTCTGGGACTGGGAGCTGGCAGAGTTGATCAACTCTGTTCATTATTCTTTCCACATTGCTCAGTTGTGATGGAAAGATACACTATGAGCTCATTCCATGAGGTTTCTTGGTTTCACAAACAGGTATCAGAACATGAGGAGATATTAACCTTGCCTACAATGCACTGACTGAATTATTTAGCCAATAATGTCACCCTCGGCTTGCTTATCCCTGTGTATCTGTCTTTTGACTTAACAATGGAGTGTGCTCTGATAAACCCATTGCAGGTGGAAGATATTTTAAGTCAAAAATGCTTTTAATGCACCTCACCTCCTAAGCAGCACAGCTTAGCAATCCAGTGCAGTGTAGAGTATCAGTGTTTACCCTTGTGAATGTCGGGCTGCCCAAAATATGGCAGAATTGCACTGCATAGCCCAACTCAGGAAAAGAACAAAATTTAAAAAGTTCGGTCAGTAGTTTCTACTGAATGCATGTTTTGTACCATCATAAAGTGAAAAATCCTAAATCAAACCATTGCAAGCCAGGGACCCTTGGTAATGATTACAAGGTCCTAGTCACTCCTATGATCTATTTTTTGCCTTTGACAACTCTGTGAAATCAACAGGCCAGGGACATTAGCTCATGTTAGAGATTGCTCCAGGGTGCACAGGGTTATGCAAAACAGAGTGTTGCAATGTTTCCAGAAAAATATTGTAATCATTTATTTACACAGTTTATAGAAAAATTCTGCCAGGAGGAAATGGTTTCAGATAATTTCTTTATGTAAAAAGATAACTTCTCAGTCCATATTTTGTGTAATTATAATGAGCTGTTTGGTCAGCAGATTCTATGTCATGAAGATAGCAAGCAACTCCAGCTTCCTGTGGTGTCTTTTACGATGATTCTCCACATGGCAACTTATGTGAATTTCTGTAATAAAAACACAGTTGTGCTACCCATGGAAGCTAATTAGGAGAACAAACCTCTATTACTAGAATTTAGTTGTGTGTGTGTGTGTGTGTGTGTGTTTTTGTAAGGAAACTTAAAAATGCATTTGCTCTCCAAGATAGAAGCCAATATAAATATAGACTGAGCTCATGTAAGGAGCACATACACTAAAATTGGGATGATATAGAGAAGATTAGTGTGGCCCCATGTGAAACAATGACCACCTTTTAAAGCCTTTGGGATAAAAACAAAAATGAAGAGGTGTATATTTAACCTAAACTTTGTAGGATCTGGGAGGTAAATATTCTCTTACCTCTCTTTCTTTCTAAGCTGAAGGTAGAAGACCCCATGGTGTTTTGTATTTTCCAAAGCTCTTGTTCCCATAGGTTTTATTCAGTTTTTCAGGAGGCACACTGAAGCCTGTGGCCTGGGGTTTGGAATCCAGTTTTAGACGAGGAAAGGAAAAGGCTTAGGGTAGGGCTTATACTTTATTTCCAAAACCCGAGTGCACATTGTGACATAATCACACCGCACCTCAGTTCCCCCTCAGTCTTGTGGACACCTGACTCTGACACGAGATTTGCAGGTGTAGACCCTTTAGAAGTGGTGCTGGCACAGCTTAGGAGCATGGGATCTTGGATTAGATTTCCTGGGCATGACTCCTTACCTTTCTTGATTGTCACTTTGCAAAGATGGGGATAGAAGCTAAGGTGAGTGTATTAATCCATTTTTCTGTGACTACAACAGGAGACTTTATACTGGGAAATGTATAAAGATAAGATGTGTAGGTATATTTAGCTTACAGTTGTGGAGGCTGAAATTCCAGATTGGGCAACCAGTTTGGCTTCTGGCTACATATTGTGGTTGATGGCAACATGGTAGGAGCAAACATGGCTGGGGGGTGGTGGAGGGGAGAGAGAGAGAGAAGGAGGGAGGGAGGGAGGGAGAGAGAGAGAGAGAGGCAGAGAGGAGTCACAGGGCAGACAGGAAGCAAGAGGGATTGATTCAAGAGGCAGGCTTACGCTTTTTATAGCAAGTTGTTCTTGTGAGAACCAACCAGGGTCCCAAGAGAACTATATTAATTCCATCTGAGGATGGCACCTCAGTGATCTAAACGCATTCTA